TGGTCGCCTGTGCCCAGCTCACAAGTTAGAAGAATCGACCCTTCAGCTTCGACTGAGTCCCCGGTAAACCCAGACAGGGGAGTCTTTAGGGGCTCAAGCCGTGTTCGACACAACTTGAGCTTCTCAAATGCCTCCAGGTACAAAATGTTAACACTGCTGCCCGTGTCAACAAGTACCCGGGAGACATCAACTCCACCCATGTCCATAGTTATCACCAGGGGGTCATTGTGATCTTCTCCGGTGGCGGGAAGGTCCCGGTCAGTAAAAGTGATCGGTTCCCGTCTTGCTTGTTTTGACCGGGGATTAAGGGCTACCGTCCCCACGTAGAGCTCTCTCCCCCACTTCTTCCTTTGGGAAGCAGAATCTCCCCCTTCCGGTCCACCGTAGATGACCTGTAAATGCTCATTGCCGGCTGCTTTCTTCTTCTTGTTCTGTTCGGCCGGCTGTCCTTCAGGCCTAACCCATTGATTCTTCTTTGGTTTGGCCTGAGCCAGGTACTCAAGATCAATCTCCTCGGCCTCGATCATCTGCTTTATTACTCCTTTCACACTGTTACACTCTGCAGTGTTATGGGAGTCAGTTTTGTGAAAAGAGCAATACTTCTCCGTCCGCTGTTTCTCGCCGGTTGGTTTCTTCTCTGTTTTGACCGGCTTTACCTCCATGATTTCAGCTTTCACCTTACCGGGCAATCCAATCTCCTTTTTCAAGGAAATCTTTCCTTTTGAATGGCCCTGCTCGGCCTCCCGCTTGGTTGACACCTGTGCCTCAGCGTCAGCATAATCCCAGGCCGTGTTATAGGCCTCTTGGTAGGACTGGGGAGGCCTCCTGCAGAATTCTTTGTAAAGCTCTCCGGATCGGAGCCCGAACACAAGAAGGGACATGGCTGTTTTGTCGTCCATCTCCTCCACCTTGTCAACTTCATCCTTCCAACGGGTAAGGAATTTTGTCAGATCCTCGTGCTTTCGCTGCCCGGCTGTACTCAAGTAGGTGAATTTTTTCCTCTTGGTACAATTTTCCTTAAACTTTTCTTGAAACACCTCAGCCAGCTCATCGAAAGAATCGATTTCACCGGCCGGTAAGTTATGAAACCACTCGGCGGCGCGGCCGCGGAGGGTTTGAAAGAAAAGCAAACATTTCTCATCCCCGGAAAGACCCATCATCCGCCCACTTTGATGGAGGGTTTTGACATGAATTTCCGGGTCCTCCTTCCCGGTGAACTTCGGGACTTCAAGTTTCGCCTTCTTTGGAAACGGGGTCTCATGAACCCGGTCTGTGAACGGAGATTCGTTCAGCAGAATCTTCTTCTTTTCTTCCCGGTCTACTCGGCGTTGCAGTTTCTCCAGACGTGCCTCGACCCGGCCCACACGATCCCGAGGTTGTTCAACATGAGAGCGGGTCAGATGCCTGGGGTGGCTTTCGGCTTCTTCCTCCCGCGGCGCCTGGCTGTGCTGGGGCTCATCGCGTGGGGGTGGTTCCGTTCGCCTGGTCTGACCAGGTCGTCCGGCTCCTCTCCCCGCACGATTAAAGGCACTAGCCGGGATGGTTTCCACTCCCAACCGTTCCTTTGCTGACCGGTTTTGATTTCGGCCATCGTGTCCCAGCCTTTGGAAGGCCGACCTCCTAGATCCTTCTGGTTGAACATCCTTTCCCTTCAATTTTTTGAGCGCTTGGGGGACGTCCCAATCCTCGTCCTTGCTGTGGACTGAACGCACATTCCCGTCCGAGGTCACCTTTGTTTGTGACCTACGGGACCGGCTTCTTCTAGACCGGGATAGACCTGCTTTATCCATCTCCCCGATCAGGTTTGTCGGGACGATCGGGCTAATGACGTTAGTTTGAGGCGAGGATTGTGGATACAATCCCGGATAAAAAGGTGAAAATCCTCCCGGCTGCTGGAACATGGACATGAAATGTCCAAAATTCTGAAGAGCCTGGGTATACATTGGATCAAGGGGTCCGGAAAAATTTGAAGGAAAAACAGGAACAGGGTTCACGGGGGAAGTGAATGGGATAGGTGGTGGAATGGTGATAATGGGGGTAAGAGTCTGGCTTGCCTGTTGTGTACTTCCTCCCGGGAACGAAGTTACGTTCTCAGCGGGAGTAGAAATTTGTGAGATCACGGTTTCCTGATTACTGGCCATGACTTTTTGTAATGGGTCCCACGGATGGCGCCAATTTGATGGTGTAAATTACCACGCAAACACTAAGTAAAAGTAATCGGAAGGGCTGTAGGTGGAAACACCTGTAACCCGGTTTGTTATTGATAATGCTGGGACTATTACAAAGTACAAGCCGTGTAGGTTTATTAAAACATACCTCACAAATGAGGATTTTAGGGGTATTTATAATAAAGCTAAGCACGTCAAGCACGTCTCTGGTTATCCAACCGGTCAGCCTTCTGACCGGTCCCATAGAGCACCTGGAGAGCCCGGTCTGAGGAAAGTGCGCTCTGCCACTTCGACCACCACCCAGTCGGACGAACCAACCGGGTGGCATCCATGGGTATTTACCCATCACCGTGCAAATAAAAAAATAAAAAAAATAGGAAACTTAAAAATAGATACACAATATGGATTAGTTCTATGTAGAATCATAAACACTAATGTGAAACATTTGTATTAAACTTTTTTAAATAATTACTTAATAAAAAATCTTTTAATTAAATAAATTAAAATAGAGCATCAAAGTGTAATCCTGAACTTAAAAAGTAGAATTTTAATATTTAGGTCTTTTAGATCAAATAGGATTATTAGGTCCATTCAGTCCAATCGGTCCAGACCCAGATCATTTCAGGTTTGGACCGGACCAGATCGAAACCCGTACCCCTAAATTTTCTGGACCGAAGACCAACCCGAAATCCATTTGGTCCGGGTTCGGTCTGAACCTAACAGTCCGGTTCATTCAGTTTTTTCGATCTCGACCTAAACGTGAACAGCAGTGACTCAAACTCGACCAATATAAGAGTTTGGGTGTGGAGTGGTGACTAATTCGGCCATTCCAACTTGTCACATACAGAGCAGTAAATAAGTTTGTTAACATCAATGAAGGACAAACCCAATGCAAGGTTTTTTTTTTTTTTTTGTTATTGTACATTCGTTCCATGAATTTGAGTTCAATACTCAGCAACATCCAGCTGAAACAAGTCTAAATAGAAAGAAAAAAACTTGGCTGAAAAGTACAACACAAAAACAGGAAAAATGAAAGGTTAGCCAAACAACACATCTACCAAAGGAAAAATGTTCCTTATGTTGTCCACTCATCTCTTTTCATACAAACCGCCTTCTGAAGCCCCGTGTAGCGGACTGGTAGGTACTGACTAGTAAACCGACCCCAATTCCAACACCCACGCAAATCCCAAGGCCAATCCCAACTCCTACTCTCACCCCTGCATTAAACCATGAGAGTTCCCCATCTTCCCCATCCAAATCTTCTGTCACTCCCCAGTATGTGTTGTTATAGTCGTCTTCTTCACATTCTGGTTTATAGCTACTGTTTGATTCTGTTACCTGCCCCATCAAGTAAAGAAGAAATCCATGGTAAATGTCATAGGTATTTTAGTAATAAAACCAATTTTCATGCGTAAGTGCAAAACAAGGGATGGAAAGGCCTACAAAATACATTTGTTGTTTGAGCTCAAGAAATGTTATTTCAATTAAATGCAGAAAAGTTGAAAGCTGCCACCAAGTGACCTAAAGAATTTGATTCTTCAAATCATTTAAACAAAAGACAAGTTCAAGATAGTCCCGAGTATTATGAACCAAATGAGACGTTCAAAGGTCTTCTAAAGTAGCTAAGGAGAGTAGTGAAATCAAGAAAACAGCTAAACTTAAATTTCAGGATTCATAGTTTATTTTGAATCTAATCATTTATGTCTGATGAGCTTACTACTTATTTTGAGCATAATGGACTCTGATGTCAAATCAAGACTTGAACTTCCATACTAAAAGGTAAACATGAAGTAGCCAAAAGTCCAAAGCCTTATATGTTGGTTCATTATTAGACACTCCATTTGTCCCAAAATAAACTTTTCAATTGCTTTTGGCACAAAGTTTCAGCCGCCCTTACTTAATGAAAGAGTTGGCTAATGGCTAAAGTTACTCCGTCCGTCCCAATTTAATGTTCTTGGTTTAACTTTGGCACAGAGCTAAAGAAAAGTGAAATTGAGTGGTTGTAGTGATGCGAAGGAGAGAGAAAGATGGTGAGCCACGAGAAGCTTTCCAAAAAAGGAAACATGAAGTTTGTTTTAGATGTCCTGAAAAGGAAAGCACAAAGCTTTTTCTTTTTGGGACAGAGGGAGTATTATTCAACAGCTTCACTTGATTGGGCTATGTGGATATGGCATCGTATCAGAGACGAATTACATTATCATTGATGCAGACACAAAATGATGATAGTCGATACAATACCTGCAGATGATCAAGTCCAGAAGAGACATCATGTTTTTGTGCACCATATGTTCCATCTTCAGGAATTGAGCCCAACATCCCATTCCTATGATGCTTTTTCCTGTTATTAAGAAGCTGCAAACTTTTGGTTAAGATGATAGGTGTCCCAGAAAAACATCCAGTAACAAAAACTTCAATTGTTGGAGGCTGATGCGATTCAGAACCATTTATCTGTTTCCCCTTTGAGAACCCACACCCTGCACTCATCATTGTTTCGCAATTCATGCTCCATTTTCTCATGCTGTTCTTCGACTCCCCACCATTCACCTCCAAAACCCCAGAAAGCACAAGATCATCTCGGTCAAAAACCAAGAACTTCACACTCCCTGTTAGCCTTACACTGTCTGTGCTCACAAATGTGGTTTCTTCAGATTTCTTGTCCACGCGGTCTCTTCTCAAAATGCAAGATCCTCCTTCTGGGTACATTGAACACCACCTTGCGCCGTTCACTTCAAGGAGTGTATCAGGGCTTAGAGGTAAATGTTTTACAGTGAGGCTCTCAGGGGTTGAACCCTCTGCCATGAAACTACTGAATCTGATATAGAACACCCGAATATCAAGCCAAGAAAGTGATGGTTTGTTGCAGCCATGGTACAACGGGTGCTTGATAATCTGGAGGCCCGAAGAATCACCCGCTCCTCCATTAACAGCCAGTGATCCATTACAATTCTCCATCTTTTTGGAGCCTTAATTATATCCAACCTTTATCTGGAGCCCTGTTCAGATCAGCATTCTTTTCAACATCCATTCAATGCAGAAAATGTATACCAAAATGAAAGGGAGAAAGAAATAATGAGAGCCTAAATTGCAGGGAGTACTTTCTTGATCTTCCCGGAAAATTTTCACATGTTGCTGGGCCAAATATACCCCACAAATGGTTTCATTTGATTGATCGAAAAACTGGTTTCATCTGATCCACAAGGAGATGTAATTGCATCTACTCTAAAATCAAGAAAAGAAAATATGCATACATAGATCCTAACTATTACATATTTACATATATTATCAGCATCACAAACCCCAGAAGGCCAAAAATTAAAGGGAGAGATCCGAATTGAAGAATTAAGGGATAAATAAAAGCAACCCACCGATAATTCATTGACAGAAATCCCAAACACGACCAAAGCTGAAATCTTTTAAATCTCTCCAAACCTCAGTTTCTCAGAAAAAAACCTAGGATATAGTTAAGATGACATAAAGAAATCGCTAGAAGTACAGGTAAGCGATTTCTACACGTTTCCGCCGCAAGAAGTACAAGATTTCGACCTTAAAATAGATTTTTAAACGAAAAAAAAGAAGAGATATTTGCAGTAAGAAATAGATACAGAACCAGTGTACAGTGCACTATCGCTTTCAAGCTCCAAAGTTAGGAGCTTTTGATCTTCTTCGGCCCAATTCTTGCGGCTGTAATTGATAGACTGTGAATCTGTGATCCTTTCTTTGTTTTTTTTTCTCCGTCTCAATCAATCAAAACTTGAATGAAATAGTGATTTTATCTTCTATATCTACCTTATCTGTAGATTATCTCATTTTTAGACTTTGTAGTTATTTGTACAAATCGTTGTTTCTTTTGATAGTGACAAAACGGACGACATGAACTATTGAATGAAAAAAATCATTTGGTGAATAATTTCATATTTTTGCTGACAAAATTAATTTGTGCTGCACAAAAAAAAAAACAGCCTTTGTATGTGTAGCGTAAAATTAAATTGGGATACACTAAGGTGTGAGAGCACTGGTAATGGGTTTGAAGCCCCGGGGCTTCAAACCGGGGTTTCAAACCTTCTCTGCCACGTCAGCTTTAACTTACACCCAAAATTCACTAGAAATGGTTTTGAAGCCCCGGGGCTTCAAATTGGGGCTTCAAACCTTCATTTTTTACATTTTTAAATATACATCTTCTAAATTTAAATTAATTTATTATTTTAATTAATCGCAATGACACAAGTGCATAAAAAAATTAAATTCATTATTAAAAAAATCTTACATTCATAAAAAAACATTCAAAAAAATTACATTCATTAAAAAAATTACATAAAAAAATAACAGTACAAAGAAATCACTAATTATTCGAACAACTAAAGATATGCTCGATCAAATCCGCCGTTAGTGCATTGTGAATCTCTCAACTTCGAATTTCTTGGCGGTTGCGTCGTTTCTTTTCTTCGGTGATTTATTCGTACATAGGCACCTCCTCGTTCGGGTTGTATTGACAAATCGCAGACTCATTATCCTCTATGATCATATTATGAAGAATAATACATGCGTACATGATATTCCTCATTTTTGTCTGAGAATAACATTTCGACGGATGATCTAGAATGTGCCACTTAGCCTTCAAGACCCCAAAGGCTCGTTCAATATCTTTTCTCGCCGCCTCTTGAGCTTTTTTGTAGGTCTGGCGTTTAAGACCCATTGGTTCGGAGAGGGATTTGACTATCGTGGAATAATCCGGATATATTCCATCGGCCAAATAATATCCACGCTTGTAAAGCGTCCCTCTAAGCTCAAAAGAGGAGTCCGGTGCGGTCTCATTAACCCAATCGTCAAAAACAGGCGATTGATCGAGAACGTTGATGTCGTTGTTCGAGCCCGCGACATCGAAAAAAGCATGCCAAATCCACAAGTCATTCGAAGCAACAGCTTCGAGCATGATGGTAGGCTTGGGATGATCTCCCCGGGAGAATTGACCGTGCCACCGAGTGGGACAATTATTCCATTCCCAATGCGTGCAATCAATACTCCCAAGCATGCCAACAAAGCCGTGTTTAGCGGCATGCCTCGCCTGCAACTGCTGGATGTCGCTCGCTGTAGGCTTGCGTAAATATCTTTTATGATAAATTTGAATAATAGCTTTTGAAAATTTATAAACACAGGACCTGATGCTCCGAGCTGACATCTTCAAGTATTCGTCGAACATATCGGATGTCGTCCCGTACGCCAACTGCCGAAGCGCGGCAGTGCACTTTTGGACGCTACTAAACCCGCGTCGGCCTCTCGCATCAAACCGTTGGTTGAACCAAGGAACCTTGCGTTCAACATCGGCGAGTATGCGTAAGAAGAGAGGACGACTCATCGGAAAACGATTACTAAAATCCTCCGGTGTATAAACACACGGATTATTAAAGTAGTCGTTTAGAAGTGAATCGTGGGCGGCCGCTTGATCCCGGTTTAGACGTTGGCGTCGGGTTCGTCGTCGGGAGGATTCAGCTTCTTCTTGGCCATCTTCCCACCATTGAATACAATTCGTCGCGAAACAACGAAAAAATAAAGCTCTTCTTTCATCGTCGGAAGATAAACCATTTTTAAATTATATTTTATAAATATTTATAATAAATAATAAATATTTTTGAGAGAATATATAGTAATAAAGAGAGATTTGTGAGAGAGAGGTGTGAGAAAGATGTATGAGATAGAGGTTTTTTTTTTTAAATTTNGGTAACGGCTATATAGCCGTTGGGAAGGGGGGGAGCCGGCTAAAAAACGCAGCCACGCCGCGTCAAACTTATGACGCTGGTGAACTCACGCCCGATCACGCCCGGAGGGGGGCGGTGTTTCACGCCCCCGGGGCGTTAAACGCCCGTTCACGCCGGCGGGCGTGAAGCCCATTTCCAGTGCTCTGAGTCGTGTGACTAGTACACCTCAATTTAATTCAGATTGGTTGCAAATTCATTTCCAAGTTACCATAAAAAAAAGTTTAATATCTTTATTCCAAAAACTAGGAGTCACAATGATAATAAAATATCAATTATGAAAGAAAAATTAGGTTTGGTTAAATTATGTGACACGTATGATATTCAAAACAAAATCCTGTAATTTTTAAATTATAATTACAAATATTTTATTTTATACTAAATATTTCATAAATAAATTGAGGTACAACATAACCACAATAATTTTTTAAGATTTAATGTTTTGATATTTATGCTAACTTTATATTATAATTATTTTTTTGCAAAAATATTTTTGTGTATGAAAAATAATAATAATATTTTATCTTAAAAGCATTCATTAAGATAACGTAATGATGGTGATGATGATGATGATGATGATGATGATGATGATGATGATGATGATGATGATGATGATGATGATGATGATAATAATAATAATAATAATAATAATAATAATTTATAACAACAAGAATTAGGATGAGAATAATATAAAAATACACTATAATAAATTTTTTTAAAGCTCTTTTAAGTTTTCCAATTTTTTTGAAATTTTTCAAGTTTCTTCCCGTTCCTTCCAATTTTTTCTAACATCCAGCTCTTTTTTTTCATTTCTAAAGAACAGATGCTTATTCTTTAATTTTTTTGGCAATTCATGATATCATACATTTATTTCTTTACTCTTCACTGCTTTGCATTTAATGAAAATATGTTATACTTCCTCCGTCCTAAAACTTTCTTCCCAGAGCACTATTCCAACTTCACGGAAATTTATATTTATTTGTGTTTTTTCATGGCCAATATGATAAAATAAAATATTCTTGTCACCATTTATTTTGTTGAACTTTTGATGTAGTTTTTAAATATGTATGTTTTATTTTTTATTTCTATACTAATATTTAAATAAAATAGATTGAAAAAACTTGGGATTTTTCTTCGTTTTGCGAATCGGGAAGAAAGTTTTAGGACGGAGGGAGTATATAAATGACGAAAATAGGCAACCAAAGTGAATAAAGTTTAACCCTGTAAATAATAAACGTGAAGTTTATTTGTTGATGGAGGGAGTAAATTTTATTTTTAAATTTCTTAGAATTTTCATATATATTTATTTGAAAATAACAACAATCATAGTAAACAGAGAACCTAAAATAGGACCGAGAGAGAATTTTATGACTAGGTCATAGCAATTGCGCCCTCCATTCCAATTGGAAATTCCGGCTACCATTAGAAGAGATTAAGACAATTAATTGGAAAGTGGAAACATATTGGAATGAAGATTTAAAAAAGAGTAAATTCCATAATTGATCCTTTATAAAAGAGGGGTTTCCCTATTTAGTCCTCAATTATCAAATATTACCCCAGTGGTCCTTCTTTTATAAGTATCTTTCCATAAATGATCCTTTTTTTGATCTTCTGTCATGTTAGTGTTAATTTGAAGGCTAAGTATATAATTTGACATCAACATTATGTCTAGTGACATGTTCTGATATTGGTTTAGCGGATAACACAAAAATAATGACTACGATTGTGAACTAAGATTCCAACGAAAGACTACATTTGTAGACTATGTTTGTAGTAGAAAGCGGCTGTAATTCACAAACGACGCAAACGGAACAGCCTTTGGAATTGTGTATGACAAAAAAGATATATTATCACTGTTAAATTACACTTTTAGCCCTCAAATTAACACCAACATGATAGAAGATCAAAAAAAGAACTGTTTGTAGAAAGATACATATAAAAGAAGGACCACTCAGGTAATATTTGATAATTGAGGACTAAATAGAAAAACCCCCCTAATATAAAGGACTAATTATAGAATTTACTCTTTAAAAAACATTAACCAAAATTTCTATTCTTAAAAAAAATTGAAAATATTTTCAATGAACGAAAAGTACTCCCAACATTTTTAGGTCCGTGCCGCACTTCGGAGCTCAGCTAAAAAATCAATCTCTCCGATGAGAGCGACTTTTCAAACAAATATAGGGCCCAAACAGGAGAAAGAAAAAAAACGATCTCAGCTGGGAGCTGATCGGTTATGATGCCTCTCTTTCTTGAAACGAGATTGGTCCGGATCAAACCCACCTTCCTCAGCTCCATACACGGCCCATGATGGCGTGGGAGCCATGTAATCGCCACTGCTAAATGGCCTTCCAGAAGCGACCTGAAGGAAGATAGATAGAAGTTAAGATGTAAGAAGAAAGCACATTGGTGGTGTGAATTAAGAAAAGAAGCAAGAGGGAAGGTGATGATGATGAACCAGATCATGAAACTTGTCATAGTCTATCCATGTGAACCACTGCCCATTGATCTTAAACTTGTCGACTTTCGCTAGTAGAACACAGCATGAATGCACGTGCTCGCACGCAACTTCGTACTCCCTGTTGCTCTTTTTAGCCAATGCTTCAGAAAACTCCTTCACATCACTATGCCACGGCACATTCTCCATTGTCAACTTTGATGTAGCAGACCTGCAGCACACATACAATACAATACATTGTCTTGGGATAAGGACGAACGAAGATAAAAAGGGGAAGCACGAGCCAGAAACACTTACGATCCACAGTAAGTGACGCCTTTGATTTCAATGAAATCGGGATTTCCAATGCTGAATAGGTTTGAATATGCATCTACATCCTCCGTGTTCCACCCTTTAACTAGTGTCAACCGATACACTGTCCTCTGTTGCTTCTCCTTGAGAGCTTTCAAGGAGTCCTGCAAATGCAATCATTGCTTAAAAATGACAAATACTAACTTTAAGGGGCCTATCCCTGCAAACTTTTACCATGAAGGCCACAAATCTTGATAGAGTTCAGTAATTAAATAAAAGGGATGAAGCACATCTAAAATCTGAATGCCCATTTTTTCATGTGTCACTTCATCTCTTCTTATAGTCTGTCTTATTTACAAGATAATGACAGAGCAGTCATTGTTATAGGACTAACTAAAGAGCAAGTAAGTACCATTGTGTAGGAAGCAAAAAAAAATCACTCGGTCTATTTTTAAAAAAATTATTTGTAATACTTCCTCCAACAATAAACTCAATCAAATCACACAAAAAGAAGCCCGGGAAGGGTAAGTGTATGTGGACCTTGTCCCTACACAAACCAATCTGTAATACTTCTTCCAGCCCATAATTTTCTGAGTAGTTTGACTTGGTACGATTTTTAATAAAGTAGCATGTGTGGTTGTGGTTTGTGTAGAAGAAAGAAAAATGAAATGGACCACACATTTTTTCCTTAAAACAAAACAAGAAAGTTTTGGGACACCCCAAATAGGAAAGCAAAAAGATAGTTATGGGACAGAGGAGTATTAATTGATTAACATGTCAGGACTCAGGAGTAAAAAACTTATAGTCCTATATGGAGAAATGGACCATGTTTTGGTCCTATCTAGGCAGTTTACCCTTTTCAAATTTATGTGTTGGTTTAACTAACTTAAATCAGTTTAATGTACTACGTATAACTTAGTATGACATACTACGTATAATCTATGTGTTGGTTTAACTTTGTCCTGCAATGGATGTCACACTTTCCTGTTCAAGCTCTCCAAAAAAGGATGTTGAACTTTCTTTTTTGGCAACCCAAATACTATCAAATGTCCATTCTATCTTCTTTACTTTTCACACAGTTATTCACAACCATTCATTATCCTCTCCTCTCTTCCGCTCATGTCGAAGTTCTCACTCTTGACCTACGAGGACGGTGGATCTCAGGGACTTCGGCAACAGAATCAGGAAACACCCTAGAGGCGCAAAACAGTAAGGTGGCAAAACCAACCCGACCTGCAAACCCAGATAGAAAGCAATCCAAGTTCTTCAATTTCTCCAGTCATACTTGGAGTTGATCCATGTGGACGAGAAGATTGGTGACGGAGTAGAGCATCTAATAAAAGAATGTAGAGGCAATGAGGAGGACATTCTACTCAGACTTTATGATCAACTTGGGGAATAGGAGGTGCTCCAAAGGGGAGCAGGTGTCTAGAATACCCAGATGAGCCGACTCTCCTACTTGTAGTTTATGACCATTATTAGGAACACAAGCTGAAGGGGTCGATGGAAGATAAAGGCTTCAGCCGTCTTTGGGTCACACAGATGAGGCCATTCTGGAGTGGGTTAAGAACACAGGGAGGGTGAGGAAGAGCACCATGCGGAGTTAAAGGCTATAAATAGCAAAATTGGAAAGTCAACACCAAAATACACATCACCTTAAAACTGAAAAGTCAAACTACACGATTGCGAGACAGAGGGAGTACTTTTTCAAACTAAACAGGATATACAGAGTATAATGAAATTGGTCTCTTGTATTCAAAACTTCATATAGAACTCTTTTTGGGACAAATATAAATCTTCAAATAGGCCACCTTTGAGCGGAGAGAGTACCATTTATAGGATTTGAAGGTCAGAACAGCAATTCTTTTTAAAAGACAGATGGCACCAGTGATTTATGAAGACACAAGTGCTCTTACTATCCAGTTGACAGCGGTGGTTGGTAGTGACAAATGTTAAACTACTCATGGGCTATGACAGCCTGTCATATCTTGGGAGTTTGTTGCTCCCAATGGAAGTATTTCACCTTCAATGGGAAAAAATCCATAATATACTTCCCTCAAAGAGAGTTGTTTCCAAGAAATGATTTACCCCTTGTTCCTTCTTTACCTTCACTCTTTAATTTTTTTGTTCGTCCCAAAAAAAAACCTCTTTCCTTTTAAGGAAAAGTCTCAACCACATGGTTTTAACTTTCTTAAAAAGCATGAAAAAAGAAAAAAAAAGCATGAAAAGTCAGAGAAAATGGGGATAGAGGGGCACTTTTCCTAGAATATAAAAGAGGGAGTTTGAACTTTGAATCCCTCTTATAGTCCTATGCACAGCACGTAACCAAACAATATTACTAGTGGTCGTGAGAATCCTCCAGTCAACAACTTTGTAGTCCACTTCATGTGTTACTGTGGTTCGCTGGATATATTTTTAAAATATGGTAAACATAGTTTATGCTTTAAAAAACCAGTCATAGGGAGCGAGACACAAAGTGGACTAGAAGATCATCGATGTCTACATGGCGGGAAGCATGATTTGAATTCAGTAGGAGGTGATTTCATTTTAATGAACCCAAAATTGTCATCTCATCGTTGTCTTGTTTCCACAGAAACTGATTGAATTTCTCCTAAACTTTAACCACCAAAGCTCACAATTTACTTGGTATGGTGGACCAAAAATGGGTGAAAACAGAAGAGTGTTTTACTTGGAAAGTGACAAGGTTTGGATGTACAAAAGCAGTTGTAAATTGGCACATTCATAAGAAGATATTAAGAGGATAGTTTTCGATACCACGAGCATTACTCATCTAGATATAGGTTCATTTCCTACAAATCAATTTAAAAACAAGTTCATGGTTCCTTCCTTAAGCCTTATTTGAGCCCTTTCTCTCGCCGCTAATCTCTAACACTATGCTTGAGAAGAAAGAAATTCAGGAAGGAAACTAAGGAGATATAGTAGGGACAAGGGAGACACTTTGCCTTGTATGGGAAGGAAATAAAAATTAAGATGGAAAGGAAAATCAGCCATATTTCTCATCCTACTCCCTCTACAACATCGAATAAAAATTCATTGTTCATTATAAATTTACCTTTTTATCATGCTTTAAAAACTTTAAATTTATTACTGTATATGGTGTAAAGAGTAAAATTGTAAACTTATACTACGTAACAGTCTAACTTTAGTTCCCACCAAAATCAGTAATTCAAATACTAAAAAAGTGTAATTGCTTTATTATTTTATTTCAATCCATACAGAAGAGCTGATAATTATATATGAAATATAATTTACGTTTCCTTCTTATTCTCCTCCCCTATGGAAAGTCCCCAAACATAGTGTAAAAGATTGATCAATCCTGTCTCAAGCAGCAGTTTATTAAATAAATGTTTGAGACAATTTTCAGGCAAATCCAGTAAGGTACTACTCACAAGAAATCGCTCCCAGAAGTCTCCAAATAGTGGTCGATCAATTGCTTTCAAACTATCCTTTGTAGCTGCATCAACACTAACATACAACTGCATAGTTTTTTAACAAAGCGATACAAGATTTTCATATGTGAAATGAAGATCAATGCTTAACAACAGAAGGATGAGAATGGACAATCATTGATAATCATGTACCTGGGTGATTGGTTTTAGCATCATAATTCTCTCAGGGAACTGTGCATTTGTCACTAAAAAAGTTGAAATCCGCCTTCGATGCAACTCATCTACAAGTGAATTTATCTCAGGATACATAATAGGTTCACCAACAAGTGATAATGCACAATGCCGAGGAGAGAGACCCTCAGCCAAGCGGTCGGATTTGACACCTGCAAACAATACACGCCATAGATGTTTGAAGTTGAAGGAAAAAAATGAAATAAGAAGCAAATGAGTAATGACAGATGAAAATGTTCTCCAATTCATACTATATTTTCATTTAACAGTCTCTCTCTCTCATTGTTTACCACGCCATGTATCCCATGATTGTCCCTGTAGTGATAGTGCTACGAACACATTAGCGAATGTAGAAGATGAAGAAGATATTGATCTTTGCTTGCCCATAAATGGAAGGAGGGGAAAGTAGTCAGTGACTAGCTTCTCATAATTAGAGATTTGACTTCACCCATTCATGATTTTATTAATGAATATAACACCTCTATCTATACTATTCCAAGAGTCTTGGTGAGCAAGTTAATAAAGTCCTAATTTAATACAGAGTACAATATTGCTATTAAGAATATTAACTAAAACAGAGTACTAATACTAGTAGCAAATTATTACTGCCACTACTACTAATACAAGGACTTATTGTATTACTAAGGGTGGTATTTATAAAGTTTAATATCATTTTTAAATATAAAAAATTATTTACTACAGGGTAATACTAAATAAACTATTAAAAATATTATTGTGTAAATAACTTCAGTCTTGCAACTCGTTGCAGGGCATAACGTGAGACATAAAGAATTCCTTTACTATTTTAATATGTACCGAACTGTTTCACTGCATTCTCAATTCCTGCCTTTTATGTCAAGAGCCCGGAGCATGTTTGGTGAGGTAAAATTTACGAAAATGACTTAAGTCGTTGATTTATAATTAACTAGCACAAACTCCAAAGTAATCCATACACTATAGAGTAACAAGCATTGTGAATGAATGATTTGCACAAAAAGTAGTATAAAAGGTAGGTTTTGCCAAACAGGTAAAGACCTGGAACTCCTTTCATTTGTTTTATCATTTTTGTGTGCAACTCTATTGCAGTTTGCACAATCTCCAGAGGATCATCCATCTTCCATCGCCAGCTTTTCCCTACAGGATTTGTATGATGTCTCCAACAGAAAACACATTTGTTTGCGCATGCTAAACTAGGGGTTGCCTCCATGCACCTATACACATAATCTTATTTAAATTGCTAAAAGACGAGTCATACTCTGTATGTCTATAAATAAAATGTAAGATAACCTGTGGCTCTCAATGCCATAGAAGGAATGTTTATAGCAACCTCCTCGCCCTCGAAGCTGTGACTTTGTCCATCTACAAATCTTCACACCACTATGTGAACCAATTATTTTGTACCCCTAGAGAACATAGATAAAAGTGGGGTTAAAATGACAACTTTGAAAGATATATATTAGACTATTAGAGTCTAAACAAAAAAAATAGAAGAAAAGTTTGTGAACACAAAAAGAATGAAAGAAATGCGTTATAAATGGAAATAATTAGCAAAATCATTGGAATCCCAAATAAATGGCTACAGTATCTATGTAGGTTTTATTTAAAAAAAAACATATAATATACGGAGTAGAAGGTTTTGAAATGAAACAAAGTACTCGTAACTTGGATCTTTCAGAGATGAGCAGCAATTTTCTGCACACAAACACCAAAATGAAAAACATATAAAAAAAATATTACCTGCTTCTCCAAACTAGCCCTGATAACAGGACTGACCATTTCTTTCTCCTTGTTTAGTGTTTCCCCATTCACCATTCCATTTTTAGCCCTAGTTCCAGCTATTGTCTTACCAGCAATGTCCTCAATATCAACAATCCCCTTATCCTCTCCATTTTCTTCTACCTCAGAATCATAATCATCATGCTCACTCACCTCGCCATCACTCTCCTCAACATTGCCATTGTTAGAAAAATATGGTCTAGAGTCCCCTTTCAAAATGATAGCCAACCTCTTGCACCAATCATCAAACACATCATCCAAATTCCCCTCATCTACATCTCCCTCACACACCTCCATAACCTCGGCTGCCCCAAGTTTCCGCAATCTTTTGGAAAAATCCTTGGCAACAGCATTGAATGTCTCACCATAGGATGTACTGCCGACACCGAAGATTGAAAACTTGCAATTGCAGAGCAGCAAAGCTCCAACCCTGAAGTCATCAGAGCTCTCGGTTAACCAATCTCCTAAAAATCTACCATTCGAAGGGGGCTTCCCGCTTTCCCAAGTGGAAGCTACAATCAGAAATAGACTTTCCTTGTGCAGATCCTCGGGCTCATAATCCTTAGGGTCAATGAGGTCGAAGGGCAGATCACTGAGGGCTAGGAAGGAGTGCAGGCGATGAGCTAGGGCTCTGGAAGTGCCAGTTTCAGAGAGAAAGAATATTTTACCTCTGGAGCTATGGTTAGGGTTTCGGGCCGGAAGTCCCGTTAAGGCTTTGAGGCGGTTGCGGAGGTGGCGGATATGAGGGCGGGACTTGTAGAAGAAGTAGATGGTTGTGGCGGAGAGTAAACTTAGCACGGCGAGACGTGTAGACAGAGCGGAGAGTGAAGGGGGCATGGTGAAGGTCAGGCTTCCGGATGAAAAGAGATGAAAGAAGCGTCAGTTTGAATGCCTCATCTCCCAATAGTAACCTCGCGGGTGAAGTTCCTTCTTAAACAATTTAAAATTTAAAAGATTGATCTAGACTGACTAGGATTTGAATTTGAAAGATCGGGACCGAAGTAGTCCTTGAGACTAGTCTAGTACTCTAGTCCAAGACCAGTAGTCTCAAATGTTCTTTAATATTTATGGAGGATCAGGACTAATCTAAGACTAGTAAAAGACATGTTAAGAACCTGAAATAGTCTGAGACTAGTAAAAGATTGGTCTAAAGACTAGGACTAGTCCAAAAGACCAGTCCTCTAGAGTCTAATTATATTACTTGTAAATTACGGAGTATATAAGTTGAAACATTACATGTAATATTATTTTATCCAAATATTAAATTTAATAATAAAAAATGGAGTTGAGAACCGGACAAAACCTGAAACGGAACAAGTGGTTCCGGAACTGGCTACGGCGGGTATGGTTACGGTGCGGCGGTGGAGCGATGCCGGAACCAGCGATTCCAAAACCGGAACCTGACCGTTCCACCTTTAGGAATATATAATCATACCCTTACATTTATTTCTACCTGTATTCTATGCTAGTTTGGTGTTTCAACTTTGTTCGGGAGAATCGATTCTTAATTGATTCTTGTTGTACATGAAATACTCAAACAAACATTAGCTCATATATTGTTTGTTAACATCAAAACACGAGATTTAGAAACCAAGGCTAACAATTTCCCTCTTTTTTATGTTGACAAACAATATACTTTAAAGTGAGTTAGGCGGGAGTAAAGAATATGAATCATGTTATGGAATGTAGTAGGGTTTGTCGTTAACGGGTTCATTCTTGTTGGGCTCGTAATTAGATCATGGTCTTGTAGTTATTATAAATAGCGGATCTATGTGTAATCAAACCAATTAAAGTTCAGTTATAATTATATTTCTACATGGTATCGGAGCCTACTTGGGAACCTAAACCCTAGTTTGTTCTAAGTTGTTGCTTCCGCTGTCGCCGTCGCCGGTTAGAAATATAATTAGAACTGAACTTGATCTGCAGTAATAACAACGAACGAAGGTGACCGACCCTGCAAACGAACAATAAATTTTGATGACGAATGACTCCCACGCGGTGACACGGGGACGACTAACAAGCATCCCAAACTTGGAGGCCATGTTGTCGGACTGAGGCGCGACGATGCGACCAACCTCACAAACAGACATGTCGAACATACGACTAGTTGCAATTGAACATACCAAAAGGCAACCAAAAACAATATCATCAAAGCATCAACAAAATTTGATGAACGGCCGAGTGAACATAAACCTTCTTCCGCGGAGCTAGTACAGGCAAAAGCAAAGTCAATCCAAAACAAAACTAGACTTCTTTGTTTTGAATCGGCACAAATTAAACTCCAAATCTTCACCAAGGGGAGTGGATTAAACTTGTTGTTCACCTGCTCACTTTTAGCTCAAACTGTAAATTGGAAACCACAAAAAATATGCAATTGTGCATGGATCACGACCACATAGGAGATCGGAACAACTGAAAACTATAGCGCTTGTTGATTTTGTGAAAGAACATATCGGCGACATTACATCCAACGACGGCAGCGAAAAACTTTTGGATCTTTTTTTTTTGACGGATCCAAATATGGGGGAACAGTGATACTAATCTGATTTTGGTAAAGAGATTAGATGGTGATGCCGAACGAGAACCAACAACGACGATTGGATCACAACTGCGCCGATCAGGTTGTGGCAAGAACAAAATTTGATGGTGACGCCGCTGTCGCCGGACAAACCACCGGCGACGGCGACAGCGGAAGCAACAACTTAGAACAAACTAGGGTTTAGGTTCCCAAGTAGGCTCTGATACCATGTAGAAATATTATTAGAATTAAACTTGAATCATTTGATTACACATAGATTCGCTATTTATAATAGCTAGAAGACCATGACCTAATTACGAGCCCAACAAGAATGAGCCCGTTAGCGACAAACCCTACTACATTCTCTAACATTCCCCCTCAAATTGAGTATGAGGTTAACGAATGCACAACTTGGACAATTAAAAAAAAGCTAGGACGAAAAAAAAATTTGATAAACAATTTGAACTTGATCTGCAGTGATAACAACGAACGAAGGTGACCGGCCCTGCAAACGAACAATAAATTTTGATGACGAATGACTCCCACGCGGTGACACGGGGACGACTAACAAGCATCCCAAACTTGGAGGCCGTGTTGTCGGACTGAGGCGCGACGATGCGACCAACCTCACAAACAGACATGTTGAACATACGACTAGTTGCAATTGAACATACCAAAAGGCAACCAAAAACAATATCATCAAAGCGTCAACAAAATTTGATGAACGGCCGAGTGAACATAAACCTTCTTCCGCGGAGCTAGTACAGGCAAAAGCAAAGTCAATCCAAAACAAAACTAGACTTCTTTGTTTTGAATCGGCACAAATTAAACTCCAAATCTTCACCAAGGGGAGTGGATTAAACTTGCTGTTCACCTGCTCACTTTTAGCCCAAACTGTAAATTGGAAACCACAAAAAATATGCAATTGTGCATGGATCACGACCACATAGGAGATCGGAACAACTGAAAACTATAGCGCTTGTTGATTTTGTGAAAGAACATATCGGCGACATTACATCCAACGACGGCAGCCAAAAACTTTTGGATCTTTTTTTTTACGGATCCAAATTTGGGGGAACAGTGATACTAATCTGATTTTGGTAAAGAGATTAGATGGTGATGCCGAACGAGAACCAACAACGACGATTGGATCACAACTGCGCCGATCAGGTTGTGGCAAGAACAAAATTTGATAGTGACGCCGCCGTCGCCGGACAAACCACCGGCGACGGCGACAGCAGAAGCAACAACTTAGAACAAACTAGGGTTTAGGTTCCCAAGTAGGCTCTAACACCATGATAGATTTTAGGATTGGGTAGAGACAACTGGATTGAGCAATAAGACACTTGGGCTGAACCACATTAAAAGATTGAATCCAATCGATTAGTTAGTTCAACTCAAGAGCTTATATACCGGATTATTTTACTCTTGGACTTCCGATGTGGGATATTCTTTAACACTCCCGCTCAAGTGGACAACCGGGCCATTTTGAATCTAACCGGTTGACCACTTGCAAATGGACTCCCATCCTCTTGATTTTTTTTGAGCACCAACACCTAAAGGACCACGAGCCGCTGGGTATGGACTTCCAGACGAGCAATCGTGTTAAACAGGCCACAGGCCGTTGGGTACAAACTCCATACGGACAACTGGGCTAAAGACTAACGGGCCGCTAGTTTTTTTAATTGTCCAAGTTGTGCATTCGTTAACCTCATGCTCAACTTGAGGGGGAGTGTTAAGGAATGTAGTAGGGTTTGTCGTTAACGGGTTCATTCTTGTTGGGCTCGTAATTAGATCATGGTCTTGTAGTTATTATAAATAGCGGATATATGTGTAATCAAACCAATTAAAGTTCAGTTATAATTATATTTCTACAAATCACGCAAGCTCCCCATAAGAATAAGCATATCCAAAATACTCAATTTGAACTTATCTTTTGCTTATTAAAAGTTAAAGTTTGATGCAAACAATCACACAAGAATGCACTTAAGTCATGTTGCATGTGTACCACTTTGAAGTATACATCTTCTATCTCTTTGGTCAAAATAGAAAAGGGTATTCGAAGAATTTAAATATGTATAACTTCTTGAAACTGTCTCCAATCAAAAGTAATTTTCATAAAAATGATAGTTTGGAGATCATTGGATAAAAGGTGTATTTACAACAAAACTCCCCCTAAAACAAAAAATTCCCCCTTAATTAACGCAAGTTTTTAAAAACTTATTTTTGAGAGCTTTTTGGGGATTATTTTACTTTAAAAACATGATTGAAAAATAATTTAAATAAGTAAAAAGTAGTTAATCATGCAAATCTAGGCTATGAATAAATTGGAGCATGTATGGGATATGTTAAAAAAAGAATTAACAAAAGAGAATTAAAAAATTCACATGCCATCGAGTATGAAAACATATTTTGGCTTATGGCATTATTATTTCTTCGTCTTGGAAGGCTTGGAGTATTTTATGAAATTTTCTTTCCTCTTGGAGTGATAATACTTCTTCCCATTAAGAAAATATTTATACCTTCTTCTCATCATTTCTCTTCATCTTTTTGTCACTTAACTCACGTGATTGGCTTGAGTTATTGAAGGAATCGCTTGACTCACTTGAGTCTTCGCTGAGAGATTCTTTTGAAGTTTTGAAGGCATTTGTAAGCTTTGGATAATCGCATATTTCTTCTCCTTGAATCTTATTCATCAAAAATTCATGAAAATATAAGGAAGACCAAATGTAGGCAGTTTCAACCTCTTCACATTTGGACAATAAATCTATGATACTAGTATATCATTGTATTTATTCACATGTAGTATACGTCTTGCCCAACTTAATTTGCTGACTATTTCATTTAACCTCTTGTTCATATCTTGAATCACCTCGTGAGGCCGTTCCTTGAAGGATTCAAATTTGGAGTTTCCAAGGACTATCATAGTTTGTTTTTTTGATACGTCTCTTTCGTGGGTGGCTTAAAGTAATTCCCACATCTCTTTGGCCGTTTTGCATGAACACACTCGTGTAAATTCGTTAGGGTCGAGAGAGTAATGAAAGATATTGATTATCTTGTATTCATAGATAATTTCCTCTTGTCCTTTGAAGACAAACCTGTGAGATTACCATTACTCGATATAAATGGCCCATGAAGTACATTTAACCATAAACCATAATCAATTGATTGTATAAAATATTACATCCTCATTTTCAAATACGAGTGATTCTGGCCATTGAAAATTGGAGGGCGGTGAATGCTTTGATATTCCATGGAGGATAACTTTTAAAATTTAAATTTAAAAATCAGAGATCATAAAATATTGAAATCTTAAAACTCAATTAAATAATTGAGTTTTAAAGTTGAATTTGCTTCCTTTCTTAAGTTTGAACTTTTGCATGTGATTGATATGAATTTGTTATTTGCTTCATAGATTCTAAGTTATAAAGATGAATTTGCTTCCTTTCTTAAGTTTGAACTTTTGCATGTGATTGATATGAATTTGTTATTGTTGATAATGTTATAGAAATTTTTAATAATGCAGCTCTATCTTTCTCACGTGTTTACAAGTCTACGAGTAAATTTTTTTTGAGTGTATTACAATTTATACATGTTTTCGTGAAATTCTGTCTAATCTTGTCTTGTATCATCATGTGTCCCCTATGAGGGAAAAGTGGTGTGCTTATTACCTTTATATTACCGATATTTACAAAATTAGGATTATTTGTGATCCCTGAATCAAAACTGAAAATTTAAAGCTCTTATTGAGTACTACTATTCATGTTTTTTATGAGAATAATGATTATTATTAGCATCATATTGACTGGAAGAAAGAGAGGGATGGTGATGTGACCCTCATTAGAATTTATTTAAAGAATTTTAAAATTTGTACGATAATCGTCTAGAATAACCCAAGACACAAGCTCCTATCGCACGGCCGAAGGTAAAAAAAGGTTTTAAAGGGATCCTTAGTAGCCTCTTGACAAAGAAAAGTAAGAATAATGGCTCTACGTCTATAACTCCAAGTGGTAGAACAATAAGTTCACTCAAAGAACTTGCAATGTACCAAGGCATGCCATGTGACTACGACGAAGAGAATGAGAATGAGTTCGACATCCTCGACGGGTGGAAGCAAATTGAGCACATGCTCCCGTCACTCGGAAACCTAGCTAGACATGTCATATTTATCATTTATGTCGTGGTCAATGGTAGCCGTAGAAAAGGAGTTTAATTAGTTCTAGCGGCAATATTTTGACCAACTTCGAGAGTAGTTTCAGCGCTGAATCACCGGAGACACGAGTTTGCAAGCGAGATGTTTATCCCAAGAGGTAGGGTACGTCATCGATTCATAAAACTACATAGTTGCAACGACGAAGAGAAATGGTAATTTGAACAAGTAACTTACTTAACTATTATTCTGTAAATGAGATTTTTACGGTGAGCAATTTATAAGTTGTGTTAGAATATAAATAACTCATCCTGGGTCACAACCACAAGCTTGAGCTTTTGGTTGAATCGGTTCCTTAACATGGTATCGGAGCCTCGTTGACTAAGAGGTCACGGGTTCGAAACTCAGCGCCACCCAGTTTAAAAAAATTAAAAGTTTCGCGTGCAAGACTCGAAAAAGACTACGCCTGCACGTGAGGGAGCGTGTTAGAATATAAATAACTCATCCTGGGCCACAACCACAAGCTTGAGCTTTTGGTTGAATCGGTTCCTTAACAAGTTGTTCAAGGGTTTCTTTACGGTTCTTTACCTCGTCACTTTTGTTAACCGTTAGGGTAATAAATGGAGTTGAGTCCAACTTTCATTATTTTAGTAACAACCACATTAGATATTTTTTAGCATATAGCATATTTAAATTACAAAACAAAAAAATAAAATTGGAAACCCGACTAGAACCGTCGGTTGCGGAACCAGCAACGACACTGTCAGATTCCAGGCACGGGGGCGGGGGAGATGCCTGGCAGTACTGGAACCGCCGGTTCTAGAACCGGATCCAGACCGTGTCTAGGGCTAGTATAGCACAACCATTGGTGGATCTACTTGTAAGTTAAGGGGACAAATGCCCCTAGTGAACCTTGGTTTGCAAAGTACTCCCTCCGTCCAACAATATTGTTTCCATTGTGCATTACGATGTTTGACTGAAATTATTTTCAAATCATTTTATATGAAAGATCATATGAAATTAAAAAATAAAAATTACATATTTAAAAACTACACCAAAAGTTCTACAAAACTAGATGTGACATTATAATATAAATGGGTAAAAAAAATACGCCAACAAATTGAATAAAGTTTGACCTTGTGAATAATGTACGAGAATATTATTGTTGGACGGAGGGATCAATGTTTTTACAAAAAATACCCCCAACTCCTCACAACCCCACTATGATAATATGTCCAGCACTGGTAAGTCTTTGCCCAGTCAAGCCCAACCACTTTGTTTTAGTTTTGTTACATATTTTTGATTTCATTTTAATTTATGGTTATTACTCCATCCGATCGGAAAAGATCGTTTCGTTTTGGCTTCAGGATTTTAATAAAAGTATTTAAAAAGTAAGTAGTTAAAATCTTATTAAATGAAAGAAAAAATTATGGATAACATATTCTTTATTTTATTATATGGACTAAAAGTAAAGAATTGAGACCATTATTAACTAAGTGTGCACTCAAAAAATTTCTCCACCCCCTCTAAGTACAAGTGTACAACACATCCAAAAAATCTTGGAACCACTGCTGAGTGCTAAGTACAACTCATCACATAAATCCTATTCTAAAAGTAGTAAATGAAAGGTAAAAGAATAAGATTGGTTGGCATCCTTCCTTCACACTTACTTTATAGTTGACAGAGCTTGAAAGAGTTCAAACCAACATGTTTGAACAAGAAAGTATGAAGCTGGAAATCTTCTCCCACATCTCCATAGGACCAAACCCCCACAACCCTCTTAGTCTCAAAGCTGTACCCTACAATTTTCTTGCACACAACCACATGAATGTACAGAATCTGCAAATCTTCATTGAACCCAGAGGACCTTATGGAATTCCCCACAGTCACTCTCACCCCCGTCTCCCTCCTCGTCTCCGAAATCAAATCGTCCAGAACCACATACCGACGCAATGTCCATAACGATTCGTGGGTGTCGTTGCTGAACTCCCAGATTCGAAACCCGTGTTCATCCGGGTCACAAAGATTCAATTTCCCCTCCGATTCCCATAGCGAGCGGTGGCAGGGATTGTGGTATGAATATGATGATCCGTTGGGGTTTCTTGGGAGTGGCAAAACTGTGAATTCATCGCCGTCTTCATCGAAGATTAAGAGACAGAAGCACCATATCAGATGTAATCTTGAGTTCATATAGATTGCAGGGCCGAAGCACTGTCCAAACACGAAGCCCTCTTCGGAAATCAGACCCGAATTCAAGAGCTTCCCCTGCTTCTGCATCCACTCCCAAGATTCAGACTTGAAAACCATAGAGTTTACAGAATTGGAGAGGGGATTCACCTCGTTCCAGAAAAAGCCCACGACTTTGAATTGGGCGTTCTTCCTCGGGTCAAAGGCCAGTGCGACGAATGCGGGTCTGTACACGGAGTTCGACGGAGGGAGGGCTATGGACTGGTCGGAAACCTGGGAATGTACGATGTAATTCCAAGTCTTCTTGTCGTCCACGGCGCCGTAGAGGATTAACCCGTTGCAGGAATCGATCAAGAAGAGGAATTTGTTCGGGGCGGAGGAGTCGACGGTGCAGAGCTCGGCGTTGCGGGGGTAGTGGAGCTTCAAGAAGACGGATTTTTGAGAGAGTCCGGCGCCTCCGGAGGACCAGAGGTGGAGAACGAGACCGGAGTCGGTGGCGGGCGGGTGGTGGAGCCGGACTCTGGCAATCAACTGCCGCCATGATTTGGAAACGGTCTCCAGCTTCGCTAGGGATTTCAGGGGGACGAAAGAGAAGATGGTTTCGGCGATTTCGTCGCATAGATCTCCGAACTCTGTCGCCGGCGGGATGACGGCCATGGCGACCGCCTCTGCTTCTTTGTCCCTTCCCCCTGTTTCTTGATTTTTTTGGGGTTTTTATTTTGAGTCGTTGGAGAGAATTCTTTTTTATTTTTGGGGGTTCTGAAAGATCAAAGAATACGCATGTGTTTTTATTTTGGGGTTATATAGATAAGTTTTCTTATTGTCAATCTTAAAATGCATATGCCATATATAGACATTGTTACATATTTTTATGAGTATACTTGGTTTTCTTTTTTAGAAGGTTCAATATATTTTATTAATTTATAAAGAAATTATTCTATTTAGCATTTTAAGTCACTCGATATTACGCATATAGCACACCTTAAATTTTTATACGAATTTAGCTATTTATAGTGTCAATATCTTCCAAGCATATCCTCTACCTTTTATTATATTTTACTATTTTTAATTACTTTTAATTATTTGATCAAACTTAGGTTATTCACGTAGCCACTCCTCCTCATACGTGCGGCTCCAGGGCTCCTCCTCATTCGTGCATCTCATATGAGCGAGAACATCATCCTACGCCGTTTAACATAGCTTTGCGAGATCCTTCTCCTACGCAGTTTTCCAATATATAATGCCAAAACAAGTTCGTACATATCAAATTAAGTTCTGCATTTATCACCCATGTTTGGCTAGTGTATTTTTGTGTAATAGATTATTCATGACATCAGTCATACATTTTTGGGTAGTGTAGAATTTATAAATGAAAACAATCATACACATTTTTGACAGTGTGGAATTCATACATAAAAACTGTGTGAAATTCATACATAAAAAGAATTATACATTTTTTTGGCAGTGTAGAATTCATACATGAAAAGAGTCATATACTTTTTGATAGTGTACAATTTATACATGAAATCACTGCCACATAAATTAATAGATATTAAACTCCAACATGAAATTAAGGAACACAATAATACACTTAACCGTAAGATATAACAACATATATCAATTCTACGCTGCCACATTAAATACCCACATATAAAAACCAGACTGCCCACTACACAGTTACAAGTGAACAACCATTCTGCCCAAAACAGTCATATTTTTTGCAGTGTGTAATGAATATTTGCGGTTTAATTAAAGGTCAAAATCGGAATTACATGTATGAAACATATAGCACTGCTCTTTAGAGTATTTAAAGGCTCTAATAGTACTATTTTGGTTTTTCTCCCTAATTTATACAAGGTATTCAAATTGCTCTTTCTGTCTAAAAATTATCTTCCTATTGTTATTTATGATGCTTGATTAGAATTATATTCAAATGACTTTATATAAAGAATAGTGTATAATTTAAAAATAAGAACTACATATTAAAAAATAACATCAAAAGATTAACAAAATTAGAATTAACATGACTATATTATTTTATTAAAAGGATACTGAAAGTAGTTTAATACTATGAATAAAGTTTGACTCAAATAAGTGAATAGTAAACATGAAAATAATTTTGGATAGAAGAAGTATGAAATAGGAATTGAGAAGAATAATATCAATTTTGTTGTTCGATAATACAAAAATATATTGATTTGGAATTAGTAGTGCCAATACTGAATTAGAATTAGAGAATTCAATTTCATCCAAATTAATTTTATATAATTTTAACTCCTAATTTAATTCCAATTTTTTCAACTTTGTGTACCAAACAAACTATAAAATTGAAATTGGAGACTATAATTTCAGTTTTGGTGTTTGGTAGCTAAAGAAAAATGTATGATGATTTCGGGTTGGATAAAGCTATCTGTACGACTGTACCCCAAGAATTTGTATCCCGTTTTGTACACTGTATGGATGCACCAACATTTTGTGTTGGTGTAATTCTAATTTTTATTAACGCACCAATACTTTGTCTCAGTGTAAATTTTGTTAATGCACCAGCACTTTATATTAGTGTAAACCATTTAATGTTGATACATACCTTTGGTGTAAAAATAAGGTACAAATTTTGAGGTACATGTAGAATGCTCCTTTCGGGTTTGTTTGTACTTTGTAGTGCAAAATGATTTGGAATCAATTCACATCGAATCAATGTACTTGGTGAGTTCATGCTTTGATCCGTGCTCATCAAGGTACTCAAATACGTGCATCCCAAGACTTCTCTTTTCCGGATTGTTTCAACAAATGTACTCCTGTCTCTCTCTCAGACTATTTCGTTTCTTTTAGTTTGAGTCGTTAGAGAGAATAATTTTTTATTTTGGGGGTTTAGAAAGAATACTCCAAAGATTTTGAAAAAAGAATTAAAGTAAAACTAAGATATCGAAATAAAATTTTTTATTCTAAAATAAAAGTTAAAATATTATAAATTATTAAATTATAAATTATTAATATACAGCCTTATATTACCACAATACGAATTCTTGATTTAGGGATAAAAACATGAAACTTTTATTTTGATATTTTTTATGTTTTAATCTATTTATGGTGAATTTTTTATGGTTTTTATTTTGGGGTTATATTGAGGACTTTTCTTATTGTGATCCTAAAATGCACATGTTACATATAGATATGTTTACATATTTTTTTATGAATTTATAGTTAAATTTCTCTCTCCTTACAAGATGTAATACATATAATTAATTTATATACTAATATTAAAATAAATAAAATAAACAGGAATCTAAAACTCATAAGGTAGCATTTGGATTTGGGAGTTCATTTCAATTCTTGAATTTCAAATCTATAATTTGAAATCCCAAAATTTAAATTTATTCCAACGTTTGGCAAAAACATGAAATTCAAAATTCATAATTTGAAATCCAAATGTTATTTGGATGTTAAATATATTATATATTTATTGTATATATTGTTCCCTATTATATTATACAATCATACCTTGTATAAGATTAGGAATACTTGTATATATAAACATACACATGTACTCCCACACAATAATATCAAGGAAAATACAGTTCTTCATGATATTGGAGCCATATTTCTCAAAACCCTAAAACCCTAACCCTCCTCGCCTACCCGGCAGCCACCCCCTACCCGTCACCTTACCCGCAACCCGCACCCCCCACCCGCATGATCCCAACCCCACACCCACATCTTTAGCGCACCAGTTTGATACTATGACCCTTCGAGAACCCACATGATATTTTGACACGGGAGCCACGCATCACATCGTCTCTGATCTAGGTACTATTTCTCATGTCTCTTCTCAATCAATAAATTCTTCATTACATATCATTGCTGGCAATGGTTCTAAGGTAAGCACTACGGCGATGGAAAACCACAGCCTTTCCACCAACCCCCCTTTATCCCTCAATAATGTCCTCACATCCCCACACATTATCCATAACCTTATTTCCGTTCGCCAATTTACGCGTGATAATAACTGTTCTATTGAATTTGATGCACATGGTTTTTCCGTGAAAGATACTCGGGCGGGAACCATGATACATTGGTCCAATAACACCGACCCACTCTACCCCTTGCATCCCGCGCCCCCAGCTAAAGCCCACAATGCATTCGTTGACATTCATACATAGCATCGGCGTCTCAGCCACCCTAGCCCTGTAACACCCCACCCTGGGTGACCCGATCGAGTCATCCAGACCAGGGTGCTAGTAAAACCCGATTGCTTAGTAAAACATTTTTTTATTTAAAATAAATTCTCATTTCGATACTCAAGAGCTTAAAGATTTTTTTTTTGCGAGTAAGTAAAAAGAGTAATATCGTTCATTAGTAAATACAACTTGGAGTTCAAGCCCAACCAAAATATGTTCAATAATTTATTCAATTATTTATTTAAAACGGAATTTCCTTTCTTAGCACGACCTCCACGTCCAAGCTTTCCTCCTCAACAGTTGTTCTCCTTGCTAGTACCTGCGTGCAGTTAAAAACTACATGTTCAGCATAAGCTGAGTGGTAAATAACCAGTAGACATATATAACATGTAAATATATTTTTTTGCATCATAGACTAATCATCTTCAAACCTTTTCACATACTTTAAAATAACATTCTCACCTTATAAAGGATACTTACGGACATTAGAAAACTCTTGATCTACCTAGTTTAACCACATATTAGAAACTAAGTCGAGACTAGGCTGGAACCCCGCACTAGTCAATACGTAGTTTTACTTTGGATACCTCCCCGTGACCTCAGATCCATTAATCAGACGTGAATCCTAGACCCACGGGATCATCGTTGGGTTCTCGTGCGCACGTTGTGGTATGATTATTTGTAGGCTCATCCACTTGGAGACATACGATCCGGCCTTATAATGTGTGGTTTCATCCACTTAGTAAAACGTGACAATACCTGGTCAAGGTATGTCTTAATCTTAATTGTGAAGATTTTACTCCATCCACTAACTGTTTGGTTAATCTTAGTTTAGTCATTTAGATGAACCACATTTGATGTTCTTTATAAAAAATCATTGTTAATTTTATTTAATGGTTTACGTCCCCTTCTTTGTATTAGAATTCCCTCTATTTGATCAACCAAATTAATCGTCACGCTTAGCACAAACAAGTGTGAGTAAAAAAACAAATATACACTTGTACTTATCAAATATATATAAAAAAATATTTATAATGTTTAACATGTAAAACCAACGAAGTTCTTAATCTGTTTTTTTCTTTTCTTCATTCGGCCCATTGGAAAAGATAGTGTAATAAAAACAATGGTGATGCTAAATCCACCCCAAAAATGGCTATATCCACCCCTTTCACATAAATTTGCTAAATGCACACCAATATAAACTTTATATTGGATGTGGATATAGCAAATATTGGTAAAAGGTGTGGATATAGCCATTTTGGAGGTGGATTTAGCAACACCCTAAAAACAATTGAAATAATAATAGTTAAAACAAAACAATAAATCAAGTAAAAGTTTATTACTCCCTCCGTCCCAAATTATTTGCCACATTTGCTTTTTCAACAGTCGCGAGAACTTTTGTTTATTTCTACGTTTTCATTGGTTATTTGATAAAATAAAATATTCTTGACACCTTTTATTTCGAAGAACTTTTAATGTAGTTTTTTGATATGTAATTTTTATTTTTTAATTTTTTACCAATATGTAAATAAAATGAATTGAAAAAATTTGATATTTTACATCGGTAATAGAAATGTGGCGAATAATTTGGGACGGGGAAGTAGTTTTTTTTCATGTAAATACTCGTGCATACATCTATGGTAGGTCCAGGTTAGTTAAGTACAAGCAACCAAGAGTGTCCTTTTAATTTGCTGATTATAACCTACGGCTTTGTTTTAAACATAAAGTCCCTCCGTCCCTGAAAAGTTTTCTCCTTTCTTTTTTCATTCGTCCCAAAAAACACTTCTCATTTATATTAAAAAGTCACTTTTACACCTTACTTTTTCATACCATACCTATCACATCATATCTTTTTACTAATAATCTATCCATCAAATCATACTTTTACTCATCACATCAAAGGACATTTTTGGAAATTCAATACCAAAATACACTCCTCTTAAATTCCTCTTCAAAATCAAAACTCCCATGTTTTCCGGGACGGAGGGAGTATTTATTTTAGAATTACTGTGGGTATCGGAACTTGAAGAGGAAATAAACCGATATATATGCCCTTGAGTTGAACTAACTAATAGATTGGATTCAATCTTTTAATGTGGTTCAACTCAAGTGTCTTATTACCCAATCCAGTTGTCCATACCCCATCCTAAAATTCTATCATTGGATCAGAGCAGGTTTTGGCCCATCTCGTTTGTCAAGGTGTCCGTCTAGACGTTCATTCCTAGCGGCTCGTTAGTCTTTAGCCCAATTGTTCGTATGGAGTATGTACCCAACGGCATGTGGTCCTTTAGGTGTTGGCTCTCAAAAAAATCAAGGAGATGGGAGTCCATTTGCAAGTGGTCAACCGGTTAGATTCAAAATGGTTTGGTTGTCCACTTGAGGGGGAGTGTTAAAGAGTATCCCACATCAGAACTTGAAGAGGAAATAAATCGATATATAAGTCCTTGAGTTGAACTAACTAATAGATTGGATTCAATCTTTTAATGTGGTTCAACCCAATTGTCTTATTATCCAATCCAGTTGTCCATACCCTATCCTAAAATTCTATCATTTTTCTTCCATTCATAAAAAAAGTTTTTTTTAAAAAAAACCTTTTTGTTTATATACTTCCTAACTTAATAATCTGAGCCTATGCTTTAAGTAACCTATTATTATTATTATTATATATATATATATATATATATATATATATATATATATATATATATATATATATATACTCCTTATTTATTTAGTACGTACAAGTGGCGTAGCATATATACGTACAAAACTTTATCTATTTTTATATATATTTGTACCGGTTTTTAGAAGTTGATGGATTTATATTTTTAACTATGAACAAGCGCAAAAAACAAAATATAAGAACATGAAATATATATATATATCTAAAGATTAGGGTCAACGGCACTCCTTCGATGTTGTTAACGCAAAAAAATGTAACTTTGACGATACACCGACATCACTGCCTTGCTACCCCTTCAAGCTAACCTCTCCACCACCATCACCAAAGAAGTACCCTAAGATACCCCCTTAGGCCCTTATTTATAGGTGAAGAGGTAATGGATGGTACGTCACAATAAAAAAAATATTTTATATATATTTATTTTCACCCATTAAATGTGATAATTGAATGGAGGAGTTACAAAACCCATTTGTTTCTTTGGCTTTGCGTGAGTGACAAGGGGAAGATTAATAATCTTCCTATGTTTGTTTAGTATTATGTGTCTCATTTTTTAAAGTTTTAGTTGTAAAGTATTTTGAGAAAAATATAAAACTTATACCATTGAGTTTCATAGTTTTCACACATCATTTCAACATAATTTGTTCGTCAAGAAAATAGTTTCACTTGAACAAATTATTTTATTTGGATAGTAGAGAACCAAAACTCATTTTATTTCGTTTCACTTTATTATTTTTTTTATCTCCACTAGTAATTAATCATTTAAAATTAAATTCCAATTTGATTATTTTTAAATAAATAAACGTAAGATTGTTTCTAATTTTTTTACTAATCATTTCTTTGTACTAGAAAATTAAAATTTCTACTCCAGTTTTCAGGGCGTTACAAGTCCGGCTGTTCTTTGTGGTGTCTCCAATGTCTCTAGTCTTTTTAAATATTTTACTAATAATAATTTGTGACATGCTTGTCAATTGGGAAAACATGTTCATCTCCCATTTTATCCTTCATGTCGTCTTTCTTGATTCCCTTTTGAACTATTACATATTGATTTATGACAATCCCCTGTTCCCAGCATTACTGGATTTAAATAATACATGTTATTATTAGAAGATTTTTCTCACTATCTTTGGATATTTTCTTTAAAGTTATTTTTGTTCGAAAAAATTAACATATAATAATGCATATGTACGTCTCAAATTAACAATTTTTATTATTTTCGAAAAAAGTAATTTTTTAGAACTTCAAAAAATTGAGGAATAAAATAAGAAACAAAACAATACAAAAATAAAAATGAATATCCTTATTGGACTTCTTAATTCTAAGGACTTTTTTTAGGCGTGTCCGAAAATTACTTTTTGTATAACTCTTTTTTGTGTATTTTAATTTTTTCATATTTTTATTTTTTTATTCTGAGTTTTCTTTTTGAACTTTTAAAAAGTTATTTTGAATAACAAAAAGTAAAAATGTTTACTTTGAGATAGATGTAACGTATGTTAATTATTTTTATTTCAAACACAAAGAATTTTAAAAACTTTAAAAAATTATAAAAAATTTAAAAGAAATTATAAAAAAAATTCTAGGAAAAGGAAAAAGAGGTAGAAAATATTTTTTTAAAAAATGAAAAACACAAATAGTAAACAAAAAATAAGAAATGAGCACGAGTGCCCCCTCTGGTTTAGAAATTATACGCTAATGTCCCCTCTTCGCTGGAAAATGATCACAAGGGGTGTAAGTGCAACATTTTGAAACCGCGAGAACTTTAGAAATAAGTTCTGAAAGCAAAATATCACTACTAGAATATGTCGATTTAGTGTGGGGCAAAAACCCTCACAAAAAGGTAAAAGCCGCCACAAAAGGAAGCTTTGCGTCGGAATCGAGGCCGTCACTAAGCTGCTCGATGCTAATTTTTAGTGTCGGTCAAACCCTTCCTAATTTGCGTCGGTCTGCTCCTCACAATTTTGCGTCGGTTTAACGTAACCCTCAATAATTAGTGTCTGCGAAGCCCACGTTAGTTAGTGTTCGCTATCGTAGACCGGTTTGTGTCGGTAAAATCATTGCTAATTTGCGTTGAACATGCCCTCATAAAATGAAACACCCATATATTTGTCTCAACATTTTGTGTGGAGGAACTCCTTGCTAAAGTTTAAATATAAAAGAATATTAGCAAGGGCTTAACCCACACAATTTATTTATTTTTTTAATAAAAAATTACTTATAAACAAAAACATTCATATTGAAAGGGATGGAAGTTTAAACATATTTTAAAATATACAACGTAAACATAATAGACACTTTAAAGTCATTCGTCACAAAAAATTCATAAAAGTCAGTAACACTTTAATTTCATGATCCATACTAGTGTAATACGAACAATTGAAAACTTATAAAAAGTATTCCTAAGCATAAGTTTAATGTCAAAACATTTCATTAAGAGTGAGAATTATGATCAAGAAGAGTGTTGGCATATTCTAGAGAGCAATATAGAGTATAGATATAGAGTATTATTACTATTATTTAGAGTATTTATTTAATCTCTATAAAATACTCTCTCATTCTAACACGTATGTCCCAGTTTGACCTTTTTTGTAAAACTTTTTGAATTTTGACCATATTTTACAAAAAAATACATTGAATAATTATATAAATCTAATATCAATAAATTCATTTTAAAAAATAGTTTTGAAATATTATATTTTTATAATATAATTTTATATATAAATAGAGATATTAATGATCAAAGTGTTGTATTCGAACCGTGAAAAGTCAATTGAAAAAATAATGTAAGGACGGAGGAGTATATATCCTTAATATTGTACATGAATGTGATACTCCATCCGTCCCTCATTTGATTATAATTTTTTTTCTCTCCTCACGATAACTTTTATTTGTTTATGCGATTTTATTAAATATTTGATAAAATAAAATAATCTTGTCATCACCTTTTGTTTTGTAAAACTTTTGACGTAATCTTTTAATATGTAATTTTTATTTTTACTGATATATCGATGTGTAAATAAAATTATTTCAAAAAGTGATATATTTGTACTCGTAAACCCCAATTTGTAATCAAATTGGGGACGAATGAAATATAATATTTGATGATGTAAATATGAAAAGAGAAGAAAACACTACTACGAAAATCATGAAAACAAACATACGGAGTATACTACATCAATCAATGTTTTATGTGACAAATTTTATACACTTTTTAGATGGATCTATAATGTACCTCTTGTAGTTCCAATAAGAGATTGGACATAGTGAGATTGAAAATGAAAAAGAAAAAAGAAAAAAATAAATTTCCTTAAATATAATGAGAAAAACAACTTGCTATGTCACGAAATGGCATTGCCCAAAAATTAAATTACGTGAGGAGCATTTTCAAGTCCGTGAACGGCCGAGATTGACGATACAACCAAAGGGATATGCTAGGGGTATACCAAAAGTGTACCCCAAATGTACACCACCCCTCTCTTAACCATTCATTTTATTTTATTTTTATTTTTTATTATTTTTATTTTTTATTATTTTTGAATTTTTCTTGCCTTTTTTTGTAGTGATGGAGGGGGTGGGGGATATTTGGGGTACACTTTTGGTGTACCCCTAGCATTTTCCTACAACCAAACCGACAATAGACGAAAAAAAAACTAGGGGTACACCAAATGTGTACCCTATTTGTCCCTCATCCCTCATTGTCCACAAGAAAAAGGCAAGAAATTCAAAAAAATGAATAAATAAAAATAGAATAAAAATGAGTGATAGAGAAGGGGGTGATGTACATTTGGAGTACACCTTTGGTGTACCCCTAGCATTGGTCTAGACGAAAACACGAGGGCACATCTTTGAGTTGTTGTACGGTTTGTACCTGCTGCACTGTGTCTTATACTACCTTCCTAGGGTAAATTTCACCAATGATACCTGAACTTTAGCTGGAATTTCGAAGTGGTACCTGAACTTCAAATCCTTTCACAAAAATCCCTGAACTTACACAATCCTTTCACTAATGAGCCATTAGCCCGTTTCTAGGTTAACTTCCGGTCATTAGGGCCAAATTCGAATTTTATATATTTTAAAATTTTCAATTTGACCCCATTTCTTCTTTTCTTTTTCTTCCAGGCCCCGCCGCCGCCGCCCGCCGGTCAAAATCGCCGGAAAATGAACTGTTTCCGATTCCGGCGGGACCAATGTCATTCTCTTCGTCTTGAGACGAGGATCAATAATATCCAAACCATTTTGTCTAATTTTGCCTGTAACTTCTCGAATCTGAATTTTTCTACTCGAAAAAACCCTAAAATCGAAATTGGGTCCAAAATGGGGGGTTTTGCAAATCGTCATCAAATCTTGCAATTGAGGGGTCCTTGGAGGTCGCCCGGATGCCACGACCACATTGGAGTTGGTGCCCGCCGTCAATTTCGCCGGAGTTGGCCGGAAAACGCTCCGACCCGCCGGCGGTTTCCAGCTAAAGTTCAGGTACCACTTCGAAATTCAAGCTAAAGTTCAGGTACCATTGGTGAAATTTACCTTTCCTATGATAAAACTTTTCAAAAAAAAAAAAGCTGTGTTCTAAACCACTGGGCATCTAAGTTTTAATTCCATGTGAGCTTAAGGGCTGTTTGGTTTAGCATTCTTGACCCCTGTTGGATAAAACATGGATACCACAGAGGACCAATCTTTTGCCAAACAGAGTGGCGTTGAGGACTCTTCCAAACCAGCTCTGCCGCCGCGGCCGCAGCCGCCGGCTCTTCCTCCGAGAAAGGTACTCACTCCTCTGTCCCGCTTTCTTCATCATGAAAAAAACTGCCCTTTTCTTCTTCTTTGATCCATATTCTTGCTGAATTACGTTTTTGCACACTGAATTTTGATTTCTCCAATTAACGCAGAAGCTACCCATATTTGCTTCAATGAATCAATTTGGTTCTTGAAGAGTGATTTTTATATTCTAGAGATTTTAGGAGGGTATTTATCAATTATGAGTTTCTTTCTTTTGTTTAGGGCCTATTTGAATTAAAGAAAATTTATGCTCCCTAATTAATTTGCACAAAGGCTGTTTAGGTGAAAAACTTTTACTCGTGCACTTTTCGAGTTTAATTTGCAGGTCAATTGGCTTTCCCAAAGCTGAGTTCTTTTAGGCTCTAGCTCTGGGGCCTATCTACCCCCTACTGAATATTTGTCCTGTTCTTCGTCTGACCGGATTTTCAGATTTCTTCGATTTATCCCAGTTCACATTCATCCGCAGACCTCAGCTTCGTCCAATGGGTGTTCTTCGGATCTTAGAATGATATCAAACGCTTTCAATCTTCACGTTAGCACTGTTCACTCTACTCACTGCCTGGTTTGTGCCTCAATAACTCTCTTCACACTCTTATGCCTTTCATCACAGACTTGACATCCCACAACCAAGTCACTTTTTAAATTATCAATTGTTCTTGTTTTTCTCAATCTATTTCCATAGCCTTAAATTCACTTATATTATAGGTCAATTGGTGTTTAATTAACTGTGTATTTCACTCCCTTATAGACAAATATCCTTTTTAATGCTACTACAAGAATACATTTACTAAGGTTTTAAATCAGCTCTCGAGAATATAGTTTATGCTTTGGACATGAAGCACTGTATTTTGATTTTGTAGGATTTAACACATGTGTTTGATCTTATCTTCAAAGGTGTGTGTATTGTTTAAATATTAATGATTTATCGGCTAGGTTCTAGTGCCACCGGAGAACGGTGCCACTCCGGTGCCACTGTGTTCTTGGAGCACCTCCGGTGCTCCGTTCGCAAAATTGACGGTTCCTACCCCCCATAACCCACCCCCTAAACTCCCAGTCTACCCCCACCCCTGACGAAGTGGAAATGTTACTGTCCACGAAAAAGTAATCACTACAAGTAAGATGCGGTTTAGTTCTTGGAAAAGCTCTACAACCCTTTCTTCGGGCAAGTATTCTTTCTGGCTCGTGGTTTAACAATACTGCGAGATGGCTCTTGTCAATAATGCTTATAATTATGCTTATTCGAGTACTGGGAGAGTACTGGGAGGTAGACTGAAATTCTTTTGCATAAGCCCTTGAAATAACTGCTTTTAACATTTTTAAACTCACTTATTCATAGCCCTTCACCTAAATGGCATCCCTTAAGTACTCTGTTGTTTCCGAAGAACCTGGAATGAACTTGGGTTTGACCCGTATCTATTTAGACTACACTAGGCAAGTTAAACAGTCGACTTTGTCTTCCATCAACGAACATTGGAATATTTTATGGTTAAGACCCGAGAATCCATGTATTGTATATGGACTGTGTGGGAATATGGGGGTTTGTGACTCAATGTCTCAATTGAGTCCTTTTAAATGTCTCTCCGCATTTAAGCCATGACATGCTCATGATCTGTGGAATGCACACAAATTCAATGTGGATGTATCCGTGATGATATTCGCAGAAGAATGACGTGTTTCACGGGAACTAAAGATGCTTGTGAGAAGCAATGCTTGAGTTATTACTCTCGTGTTGGATTGCATTATGATAAGAACTCTAGTTTGTGTAGAAATCTCTAGAGAGAATTGTTGGATTTAAAAAAAACCTTGTGGATGATGATGATGAGTTGTCCTTGAGGATAAAACAAATGGCGTTATTAGTAGGAAACAAAAGATGGAGATACTTCTAGTAATCGGAGCAAGTTGTGGGATGGTGATAATATTCGTGGTAGGAATTTTGACTCTATTCATTTTGTAAGGAGAAGAAAAAGGAAAGGAAGAAGTTAGAAGGGTGACCCTCACCGAAATTGAAGCGGATTCTTACAAAGAGCTTCACGATGCGACGAAGGGATTTTCTCAAATGCTCTTCCGTGGTGGGTTTGGAGCTGTGTTTCTCGAGGAGTTATTATCAGACAGCTCTTCCTGAATGCACCAAATTGCCACTAGTCTCACCCCCTTGGCCTTCAACACGTCATAATCTTTTTAAGCCTCTTGTCCACAACCTCTGTAATGTTCCCTTGTAATATCTCTTGCATTATCCTCAGTGTGAATAACCATTCTCCTGCTGAAGGTAGCTCCCGCTACGACTCTCACTAATCAATTCCAGCATTGTCATTTCATAGCGGTAAACGTTAGCCTTGGTCGTGATTACACTCCCAGAGAAAAAACTCAGGTGCAATGTAGCCCCAAGTCCCTATAACGCTTGCACACCCTCTCTGAAATTCTCCGCCTAAGATTTGTCCCATCCCAAAATCTGAAACCTCGGTGGAGAACTGTTAGTCCAAGAGAATGTTCTCAGGTTCGATGTCACAATGTAGGATGCACTTTGCGCATTCCTTGTGAAAATATGTCATTCCTCTTGCAACATCAGTAGCAACCCGAAATCTAACACTCCAAGGGAAGCACATTTGGCTGTCGTGGTTTAGATACATGCTCAAAGAGTCATTTGGCATGTAACCACAAACAAAATCATGTGCGAATTTTCATAGCAGAAAACTCTTCAGCCCCACAATATTAATATGTTAAATCTTTCCTATGGTGCACACCTTAGAACGAAAATACTTCACACCACCTCCTTGTTGATAAAGGTTTTTCACTCTGATGAGAGGAGATGGAGAAGAAGAAGAGGAGGAAGAACGGTTGCCACTCCCCGAGAAACACAACAACCACACCACAGCCGAGAATTTGAACGAATCCTTTTTTCGCATCATGAAGCTCTTTATAAGAAAACAACTTTAACTTTGACAAGGGTCCCTCTTCTAACTTATCCTTCTTTTTCATTTTTCTTTTTAAAAAAATGAGTAGGGTCAAAATTCATAGCAAGAATATGATCACATTCCCACAACTTGCTCCGATCACTAGAAATTTTTTCATCTTTTGTTTAGTAATAAAAATGCCATCTTGTTTTACCCTAAAGATCAATATCTTAATATTGTGGGGCTGAGGACTTTTCTGCAATGAAAACTCCCACAAGATTTTGGTTTATGATTACATGCCCAACGGCCCTTTGAGCATGTATCTAAACCACGACAGTCAAATGTGCCTCCCTTGGAATGTTAGATTTCAGGTTGTCACCGATGTTACAACAGGAATGACATAATTTCACGAGGAATGCACGAAGTGCATCCTACACTGTGACATCAAACCTGAGAACATTCTCTTGGACTAACACTTCTCCACCAAAGTTTCAAATTTTGGGATGGGTCAAATCTTAGGCGGAGAATTTCGGAGAGGGTCTGCAAGCGTTAAAGGGACTTGAGGCTACATTGCACCTGAGTTTTTCTCCAAGAGTGTAATCACGACAAAGGCTAACATTTACAGTTACGGAATGACAATGCTCGAATTGATTATCGGGAGTCGCAGCGGAAGCTACCTTCAGCAGGAGAATAGTTATTCGCACCAAGGGTAATTCAAGAGATATTACAAGAGAACATTACAGAGGTTGTGGACAAGAGGCTTGATAAAGATTATGACGTGTTGGAGGCCAAGCGGGTGGGACTAGTGGAAATTTGGTGCATTCAAGAAGAGCTGTCTGATAATAACTCCTCGAGAAACACAGCTCCAAACCCACCACGGCCGAGCATTTGACAAAATCCCTCTGTCGCATCGTGAAGCTCTTTATAAGAATCCGCTTCAATTTCGGCGAGGGTCACTCTTCTAACTTCTTCCTTTCCTTTTTCTTCTCCTTAAAAAATGAATAGAGTCAAAATTCCTACCACGAATATTATCACCATCCCACAACTTGCTCCGATTACTAGAAGTATCTCCATCTTTTGTTTCCTACTAATAGCGCCATTTGTTTTATCCTCAAGGACAACTCATCATCATCATCCACAAGGTTTTTTTTAAATCCAACAATTCTCTCTAGAAATTTCTACACAAACTAGAGTTCTTATCATAATGCAATCCAACACGAGAGTAATAACTCAAGCATTGCTTCTCACAAGCATCTTTAGTTCCCGTGAAGCACGTCGTTCTTGCTCCATCATAAGTTATTTTACCAACACCCAAAACACATCATTCTCTCTGGTGCGAATATCATCACGGATACATCCACCATAGAATTTGTGTGCATTCCACAAATCATGAGCATGCCGTGGCTAAAATGCGGAGAGACATTTACAAGGACTCAAATGAGACATCGAGTCACAAACCCCCATATTCCCACACAGTCCATATACAACACATGGATTCTCGGGTTTTAACCATAAAATATTCCAATGTTTGTTGATGGAAGACAAAGTCGACTGTTTAACTTGCCTAGTGTAGTCTAAATAGATATAGGTCAAGCCCAAGTTCATTCTAGGCTCTTCGGAAACATTAGAGTACCTAAGGGATGCCATAAAGGCGAAGAGCTATGAATAAGTGAGTTTAAAAAGGTTAAAAGCTATCATTTCAAGGGCTTTTGCAAAAGAATTTTAGTCTACCTCCTAGTACTTAAATAAGCACAATTATAAGCATTGTTGACAAGAGCCATCTCGAGTATTGTTAAATCACGAGCCTGAAAGAATACTTGCCCGAAGAAAGGGTCTTAGAGATTTTCCAAAAACTAAACCGCATCGGACTTGTCAATTTCATGCCTGGAAGCCAAGTGTCTGTCACAAAATCAAAGCTTTGCCAAAGCAACACGCCATCTTTGTCCAGAAATACAATATTTCTTTATTCCAACAACTTCGTGTTTTTTGCTTGCTTTAGGTCATTCGCTTCCCAAATCAAATCTTCTTCTCTTTTCTTCAAAATTACATTCCCATCAGGCTTAATAATCTCTTGCCTAACGCCTGAAAGAATCTTGATTGGCTTTTCCCTATTCGCCACCCAAACATATGTGGGCCTGAGACCCAAGGCATACCAAATGCCTAAATACCAGCTGGATTCGTCTATTTTAGGACTGAAAATCCAACATAAATGTATTGTTCTTACTTGAAATCCTCTCATGTCCATTAAGCAAAACACTACTCGATCTTGGCAAAGACTGAGCTATTTGTGTAACAGCTTGAGATAAATTTTGATTGTTTGTTGGCAAAAGGGTCTGATTTCTTGGCTTCAGTGATAGAGAACTAGAAGCATTCAAGAAGATCATTATGAGAAGGGAAAGAATTTGAAATCTAGGAGGAGGCACATTAGTACAGCAGCAGAAGTTTGTAATGAGATAAGTAATGACGAAGTGGAAATGTTACTGTCCACGAAAAAGTAATCACTACAAGTAAGATGCGGTTTAGCTCTTGGAAAAGCTCTACGACCCTTTCTTCGGGCAAGTATTCATTCTGGCTCGTGGTTTTACAATACTGCGAGATGGCTCTTGTCAATAATGCTTATAATTATGCTTATTCGAGTAATGGGAGGTAGACTGAAATTGTTTTGCAGAAGCCCATGAAATGACTGCTTTTAACATTTTTAAACTCACTTATTCATAGCCCTTCACTTCAATGGCATCCCTTAGGTACTCTGTTGTTTCCGAAGAGCCTGGAATGAACTTGGGTTTGACCCGAATCTATTTAGACTACACTAGGCAAGTTAAACAGTCAACTTTGTCTTCCATCAACAAACATTGGAATATTTTATGGTTAAAACCCGAGAATCCATGTGTTGTATATGGACTGTG